TTTTTTCAATGTATGCTTCAGACACGGGTCACGACGAGGCGTTCCCCATAGCGACCCCTAGAGGACGCAGTTCGAAGTTCCCATGAAAGGGAACTATGGAATATTTTTGAAGATTATATATCAATTCTAAGCACACAGTCAAGCTTTTTGTATCCAGCCAGCTGAGCGAGGTGGGATGATTAATAATGTATCTTTACGATGCATAAATGAAGTTGTCCGAGATGTTTTTAAACAGATCTGACTGTCAGCTCTAATGAAATGGAAACATGACGGTTGGTGTAAACAGCCATGCTGGAAGCACACACAGGAAATGATGTTGTAAGAGAAGTGGGTAATTATTACCTGTCAGCCCTGTGTCCATGGCTGTATGGAAGAGAGTAAAGCATTAAAAAGTGATGCTACTGTGAGGGCATCTATGTGTGTGTTTGCACTGATCTAATGCACATCTCTCACTATTTCATGACCTTTACTCAAACGCTCTTTGAGTGAAAAACTCTTGCTCACATTGGACGCAGAATTCATATACACCCAGACTGGATTCTTATCTGTAAAACCATTTGCATTATTATAATGCTGTACTGTTTCCATTAGGTGGCACTGTTGGTCCATGAGTGTTTTGGACTGGATGACTCAAATGGTCTTGCTCTATGGTTGACATTCAAACGAATCCTTTTAATTAAGCCTGGGGTCATCAGCTCTGTGTGTTCTCTCCCAGCTGTTAAAGCATTACCATCTTTTGCTGCTCAATTACCAATTCAGATGCACTTGTTAACATTCTTGGTGTCATTATTCATAGCCACAGTGAAGGATTATGGGATATTACAAATTGATTGAAAGTGGGTTGCTTAATAAGCTGCAGATGAGAAGCAAACTATGACAACAATATTTGCAAAAGGAGCAAAGATAGATTACTTGCTCAAACTTTAATTTGGAAACATTTGAAAAGACTGTAAAAATTTTTTATTAAAACTCACTCCCAGAATGTGGAATATTTTACAATTAAATGTCTTGTATGTTGTATAAGATAAACTAATAAACTGTGGGAGATTGACCTTTGACTTCACTCACCTGCGAGCTGGCACAAAAGAGAAGTGGCCTGCAGTGTTTGGAGAGAAATTACGTGGGCTGTCCAATGGGCTGCTTCCTGAAAGATACCAAAAATGTTACATTTAGGGAATTGTTTACAAAAATCAAGTTCAACTACCCATTATCAAGCCAGACTGTTACAAATAACTGTTGAAATACATTCACTTCATACTTCATTGACTTCATACTTCAGGCCACCAAGAGACACATTATGCCCATCATAAGTAAACGCAATTACCCTAAGGTTCTTACCTGCTGATCTTTCCCATTTATTTTATGTATCAAAGCCCTTTTATGGTAACAAAACCCTTTAGAAGAGTGGGCTTCTTATGTAGGCCGCATTGAGAGCAGAGGTACAGGGATAAAACACACTTTGATCACGGTCTTTTCTATTCTCTTGCACAGCTCTCTGAGAATAGATTAGAGCTTAGAGAGTGAAGCACTTACAGTGTTTAAGTGCTTTAGACAACAGGCCGTTCCATCAAAAATGCCTCAAGTGGAGTGATATTGCATAATGAATGTTATTTAATGATTTGCAGACCATGAGCAAAGAATCCTTTTTTGATTAATGCAAGCTCAAATTCATATTCAGGGGATTTTGCTAAGAACAAACTCTTTATCTCTATTCCAGTGGTATTTAAATGGCGAGAAGATTTCATATCCTGGGCTTTTTCACAGTGTGGTACATTTTTACATCACAATTTAAGATGAAATACATAAAGAGTATAGCTAATAGATTAAGACATATGACAGCTATGAGTCATGTTACTAGATTAAAAAAAGAAGAAAATTTGATCTAAAAACCACTATTGCTAGTCGTGTGAATTAATGAGCACAGATACAGGTATCATCAATCAATCCAGTCAATCTGAGCAACGGGGCGCTCCTATCTGGACTGTGTGGAACGGCTTGGGTCACAATCCCCCATGCATTAATCATGCATTAATGCATTTCGTCAAGCGGCCTATGCCAAATCTTAAATATTAATGAGAGCATAATTCTTTGTCAGGAAGTGACTGTAGGAACAGCTGCGCACAGCTGGACTGGGACACGGAGCAGTGTGGATCTGTCATGGAGATGCATTCATTTCAAGGAGAATCCTTGGCACAATGGTGTGCTACACAGTGAAGCACCAGCTTATTTTTCATCACGAAGACTGTAGTGGATGAAGGGTTTGCTAAAGAGATGCAGACACTCTCTCATACGATGCACAGCTGAGAGAAGAAAACTAATCAGCACCCTGTTGAATCACACATGCTATAATCACACCACAGCTGAATGTGGTACGGATGAGGTTTTTGGATGATAGTCTGAAAAATCACACAGAATCTGACATTTTCAACTTTCATATGTGGAAATAAACATATTGATTTTTTAAAAATGTGACTTCAATATGAACACAGCGATATTCATGCATTGTTTTAGTAATTTTAACTCGGCATTCTTCATAACTGCATGCTTAATTTATCCTTCCTTCACTCATATCAATGTATATATTGCACAATATGAAGTAATATACAGAAAGTTCCAAAAAATAAAATGACTATATAGACAATTACTATATAGATCAAATGTTGTGACACTTGCATTGAAAAGTGTTAAAATACTAATGGTAACAGATTTAAGAGTGAAAGTCCAAAGTTCTTTGAATTTATAATAATAATAATAATAATATCATAAATATTACAAAATAGTAAATATATCATATTAAGGAATAGTATGAAATGTATTAATTTAAATTTTTTTAATAATTAATAATAATTACAAAAAAAAAATATGGAGGAAAACTAAGAGCTTGAATAGACAAAGGGTGCTGGATAAACACCATGTTAACAGGCTTTGCTTTAGCCAGGTAGCAGGCCAGCAAAATAAAATAAAAAATAAAAACCTGCTGCTGGTTAAATGTATAACAGATCAGAATGTTTTACCCCCACACAGTGATTAATTATTATTATTTATTTATTTTAAAAAATGTTTTTTTTACACAGATCAATCTAATATGCTTACACAAACAGCAGGATCACAGTTGTAGTGAGTTCTCCTCTCGTCTTAAGCATAATGACACCTCACAAAGTACTGCAGTATTTAATTCTTGTGCTGCTGCTGGTGTCTAAACTGGCAAACAGCTTCCTGAAACAGACTGTAATGAGTGCAGTGTGGCACTGCAAACCCCCTGTTGATTGTGCACAGTTGAGTTTGAAATAATTTAGCCTCTGTGCTGCTTCTGTTGGCAGTCGCATTAGAATGCTGCTAATGGCTTTGAAGTATAATATATAATTATCGTTATCGAATTATCGCCCAGCCCTACTTTGAAGTGCTTAAAATGAAGCCGCATTTGGGTTACTGTTCCATTTTAGATTTGTTCATTTAAAAATTGCACGCACACAGATTCAAGTGATGCCTCCCAAACTGCTTGATGCAGTACAGACAACACAATCAGTGTTTCCATTAAAACTCGTGTGGGTTACATCAAGACTGCACTGCAAAATATAATATCATTATAAACACCCTGAATCTGTATTCTACAATAGTGTGGCATCAAACTAAGCTATTGGTGTCTCTTTTCACACTCTACTGTGTGTGCTGATGGTTTAATCCAGTAATTCAGTGAGTAGATGGGGTTGACAAACAGACGTCAATGATCAGGACTGCAGCACATTATTTATCATTTTAAGAGCCCTGCTGAACTGCGTAAACATGATCTGTGTGCTTTATGTGCGCTCGTGACCTGAGATCAGTTATAATCACACATCTAGTCATCTCCTTAATCTCTCTCTCTCTCTCCACACACACATTCACAGAAAGAGAGTATGCCTGCTGGTTTTGACAGCTGATCTCTCAATTTCTCTTTCCTGCTCAGATTTTCCACAATGTGGAAGTGACACAAGGGATACATACACCCACTGGAGCAGCAGCACTTTTATGAAGTGTTTTATTACCAGCTTCAGCTTTATTAAAGCATTACTGTGACAACCGAAGTGTTACATAGTGCTTTGCAAAGTATTAACCATTTCTCTTGGTTTTCTGAATGACAAATCTCTGATATATCGTACTGATATTTTTACACACTTAAGCTGTTTTATCATACATAATTAGTTTTATAATTATAAAACATTTAAAAATACATTAAAATATGTTTTACATATACAATATTCTAAACAAAATACTGAAAGTATTCATTCTGTGCCATTTTTTAATGTAAAGTTGTAAGTTGTAACATTTTACAAAAAGGCTAATTTTGCTAACGGTAGTTAATGCATTAGATATCATTAACTAACAATGAACAATTTTAAAGTATTTAGTTAAGTTAAATATTAATGTGAATTATCAGGAGTATATTCATAAACTAACACAAATAAATGCATTGTTGTATTGTTCATTTGTAGTTAATAATAACAATCAATGAATTAGCTAATGTTAACAAGTTGAACTTAAGCAATAACTAGTGTTTGTGGTCACTACCATGTTGAAATGCTTCAAACTCCAAGTTTATTAGTGGACAGAGGATTCCCCACATTCTGTACCATCCATTCTTCCTTCTGTTTTAATAAAATGGCTAGTGCCCAAAGCATGAAACTACCATCACCATAATTCACTGTAGATATAGTGTTTTGTGGTCTGTATTAGATATTAGATTTTTCACCAAATAAATCATATTGAATTTCAGTTAAAAAGCTATATCTTGGTTTCTACTGACCACAAAGTATCTTTCCCATATCACAAATGGGTCAATATTATGGTTTTTGGCAAAATCCTGATATGTTCTCACATCGTTTTTCTTGACTAATGGCTTCTTTTGGCCACCCATAGATTATTTCCTTATGAAACATTTCGTAATTACTCTTCTTAGAAATGCTCTTTAGCTTATTTTCACAGCAGTTCTTCAGATTTACAGTCTAAATAATGGTCCTTTAACTGTGGGGTTATTATCCACATAGAGTATTGGCTACTTTAATGATCATTTAATGTTATTTAAATGCACAGGTAGAGGACAATTGAACAGCAAATATGCCCCCATTAGAGCAACTGTCATTTGTGCTTCTGTAAAATGAAAATGTTTGCTTACTTTCATGGACAATGCACACACCACTTCATACACAACTGACAATCACTCATCTCATCTCTATGATAACTTAAAATTATCTTCTCCTAACATTCACATTAGTCTAGTCTGTGTGTATGTATAACACATGGATTTGATTATACCTCATGTTTTACAGGGAAAGGTTAATAAGAAGATTTTCAAACTCAGAATGACGTATTTCAGACAAGACGGAAAGTACAAATCTGCCAATCCCTAAGGAGGCATACAGAGAAATTGTATTACAAAATGTCAACTGTCAATCCATTCATAATGCCCATGAATTAGATGAGAAATCCCTGCACCACATTAGAATTACTCTATGGCAAACTGAGATGTGATGGTTGCTATGGAGATATAATATTTTGTGAACAGCTGCCCCACAGCTTTCCATTTTTTTTGTGCGACAAGACAAACAGCATGTGAAGCATACTTGTGAAGTGTGTGCAGTCTGTATGCCTCTGGTCCAGAGTCTAGTAAAATGTCAACAGTCTACATAGCCAGCTACCTACTAAGACAGCATCCTAACAGAAAAGACACCTTAAAAGTGGCTGAAATAATCTAAATAAATAAAATGTATTTCTAATCGATATTTACTCAACTCTGTCTTCCATCTTGGGTTATTTCCACTAAGCTCATTGCAAAGAAATTTGTAAATCAAAGTATCTTTTAAGGCAGCATAATGTTTCTGCCTATTGTTTGGAACAGACTTTACATTGGGAGCATGAAATGCATAAAAATGTATTTTTGGTAAACGGCTCAAAATGGTGGTATATCTTTTACCTGGGTGTCCGTGCAGTGGTGAATGGGGGCGAGGCAGAGTAGGAGAGGTGCTGGATGTCACTATCAAACTCTTTCTGTTGCTGGTCCGACAGCTGTAGAAAAGAACCAAAAACAAAATTCAGGATGATCATTTGTCTCATACATTTATGCATAATGACTAAATAGATGGCGCAAAAACAATTAAGATGATGATTTTTAGATTGAGCCAAATGTAAAAACAGGTCAGAGTTAAGACATTGTAATATACTGAATCTATGCCCATTCAGAAAGATTACAGAGAGCAAAGTACGAAAGAACATCACCTCTAAATGGCAGTGGAGTCAGATGATCATTGTCTAATTCAGGTCACACAAACCTGTCTCATTTTAAGAGGCTGAAAGTGCACAGTAATATCTGCTCTCTTTTCTTCTGGCTTAAATGCTAAAAGCCTACAGCTCAAGCTGACAGGGGGAAAAACGGCCACCTAAAGCTCAGCTCAAATGAACCTTGAGACTTCCAGCTAGGACAATACAGCCTCACGCTCCATTGCAGAGAGGAGAGATGACCGACTGAGCTTTCAGAATTGCAAGACGGAGAGCAGTGTAGTGAAAAGTAAGGGATGAGTGCTCCTTAATTCAATGTGAGCAAAATATTGACATACACGCACACATAGCTGAGCAATCAGAAAGGCAAGCTGTAGCCTTTACAAGACATCACGCCACTGCTGAATCTACAATCTACATCATGACAAAATAAATTATATTTCACCAGAGTTTTGAGCATCTGAATTAACATATAAAGCCTATGTTCCATAGAATAATGCCAAGACAAGACATCAAAATACAAGACTATGTCTTTATTCGGCAATATCTTAAGTGACTAAACTCAAAAACAAACAAAAACTCAATAAAAAAGAACAGCTCACAAAAATCGGTTGGAATCAACTGTAATGATCTTTCACCGAATAAATTCACAGAATCAGTCAGAATAGTTACTGAATGGCAAGTCATTACGTTCAGTCATGTCAGACTTGAAATGAAACAAGAACTGTTTTGTGTAGGGTTGTAAAACTTAAATCAGTAGCATTACTAACTATTTATTACAAAAATGTGAATGTTTTTGGAGTTACAACTCTTCAACATATTATATAATAATAATAAAAAACTTTAAAAAGTCTTTTAAAGTAGCTTCTCAAAGTGCTCTACACCAGTGTTTCCCAACCGGGGTGACGTCTGTCGAGAGCAGGGGTGCCGTGTAAAAAATCATTTTTTAATATTTCTAAATTGCTAAAATGTTCATAAAAGCCTGAAAAAATAAAAAGCAATTTATTTCATTTGTAGGCCTATCGTAATTTCGTAATTAGTAATTTCTTTATTTGTTCTTATTTTATTATTAACTGCTAAGCCCTCTACACAATATAAACAATGCAATTAATAAAATTAAAGACAATAAAAGTAAATGAAAAAATAAGCATCAACAAGCAAATGCTATTTAAAAAAAAATATGTATTAAGTTGAACTTTAAAAATGTCATAGGTCTGAACTTCCCTAAATTCAAGAGGCAGAGAATTCCAAAGGGCGGGAGCATAGGAAGAGAATGCCCTCTCACCCATAGATCTCAAGCGTGTTTGAGGAACCACCAGCAAGTTTGATTGTGAGGAGCGTAATCTGCGATTAGGAGTGTAAGGAATGTAACAGTTCTGTTAAATAAATCATAATTTTGAAATCAACTCTTAACCTGACTGGGAGCCAATGCATGGATTCTAAAACTGGAGTAATATGGTTGCACATCCTGGACCCAGTTAAGATCCTGGCGACCGAATTTTGTACATATTGCAGTTTGTTTAGTGTGGATTTAGATACAATAATCTATCCAAGAGAAGACAAAGAAATTTATCAGCATTTCTGCTACAGTAAAATTTTGCATAGGACACAATCTTGAGGTGTTTTAACAGTACTCTGAACAAAAGAATCGATTGACAGATTAACATCAAAAATAACTCCAAGGTTCCTCACTCTATTCTGGATTTCCAAAACAGAGTCATCGAAAGTCAAAAACAGAGAACCAGCTTTAGAAATTTGATGACAGGAACCAATGAGCATAACTTTGATTTTACCACTGTTCAGACACAGGAAATTATAACTTGCACATGTTTTTATCTCCATAATACAGTCAGAAAGAAAAGCAGTGTCAGGGTGCTCATCAGGTTTTGAATGTATATAAATCTGTGTATCGTCAGCATACAAATTATAATGGAGGCCAAGCGATCTCAAGAGATGGCCAAGTGGTGACGGATAAATATTAAAAATTAAAGGGCCAAGACTGACCCCTGAGGAACACCAGTGAAAACAGAGCTAATCTCAGAACTAAACCTTTGAAATGGTTTTATCTAAAAGTCTTTAAAATGAATGTCACTTGTTTGATATTCTGGTTTATGAGGCAAAGACAATACATTTTCAAGTACAGTCAATTGTGTGTCCAAAATCTTTCAGGAATGGGTATGGGTGTGTAAAAAAACTGAAATCTGCATCTCACACTGCAGAAAATTGGCCATGGCTGTTGAGCATTTCACACATTTGACAGTATGTTACCGCTGTTCTGAGCCTTTTCCGACCATGACAATGACATTAAAAGTGTTTGGTAATTTTCTTGATAATTGCATGAATGCATTTTGGTACAAACAGTGTTGCAGAAAGAGTAACTATCACAGCAGAGACCTGTGCCACTTTCACAGTGGCAGCCATCACTCAGTGTGTAATGGAGGTTCAGAAGTGAGTAGAGTCACAGCGGGAGACATGGAGAAAAAGAGAAAGCAAGGGGTGTGAGGAAGAAGAAAAGCGAGAAACCTGGAGAAAATCGATGACTCACGAGCTAACACTGGAACATTAATACTTAAAGAAAGGTCTTTCTTCTAAAGTGGCTGATAAGAAAAGATTTCTACTGGTGCTGGCTTAAAGATGAGATTTATTTGGAGAAGGATGTTAGGTGAATGAGACATCAGAAAAGCATTGTGATGTTATCTGCCACGTGCATGCTGACCGCAAAATGCTTAAAAATGGTTATGATCAAGACATCTCACATTTTATCAATGTGCAATGTTTAATATTATTTTCGTTTGAGCTGTAAATCAGTAATGACCTAAATGTTCATTAAATATCTACATATAATTAAGAAAAAAAAATCTTATTCTTAAAGAGTCCACAGCCATTTGCATATACTCTGCATCAAAAACATATATGAATACTATTGCAGTTTTGTTAACATTTTTATTTTGTTTATTTAGTAATTTTTATTATTATTATTATTTTTTACATTATACTTATATTGTGGCGTTTAATAAGCCATTTTACTGGTTATATCAAGGAGCTCAGAAGACCGCTTACATTCACAACATGGATTGATCACGTTAACGTTGGATAGACTCACGGTCTATGGAAGAGAATTTATGCCACACATTACTATCCCTTTAACCCCTTCTCAAGGTTGCTGCTCACGAGTCTTTCTGACTAGATATATAACCAACATATATTTACAAAGCTGACACTTTTTGATGCAGAGTATATGCAAATGGATGTGTGGACTAATTAAGAATAATATTTTTTTCTTAACTATATTGAAAGAGACACTTTCAATAAAGACATTTCATTTACTCAAGCACTTATTGTACACAAACAGCCACAACTTGTCAGTGCTGTCATGGAAGCTTAACACAGCTATAAGAATAAGAATTAGAATGAATAAGAAGCTGACTGTTATCCAGAAAATGTTCATAGGTGAGTGTGAGGGTGGATATTGACATGAATTAGCAATAATTAACAAAATTAAAGTGCATTTTGGAATAAATTGAGCTTGGAAATGAAACTCCAGAAGGTATGATGCTGAAAAGAGCTGCACACTCTCATTAAAACATCATTTTCATTCCATCATCAGAAAATAAAAAGGGGGAAAACATGGCAGGAAAAAGCCCTGGTACAATTTACATGATAATAACATGAGCAGCTGTGTAGGATTCACACATGTGAAAAGAAAGTTATCCCTTAATTACAGTAATTGCAGAGAGAATTTGTTTCCCCTCGACTTCTAAACACTAAGAAATGTCAATTTTATTCACTAGAAAACCTGCTTGTTTTCATTTTCTTCTGTGTTCATTTGAGTTTGCTTGAGTTGATTAAGCTTCATTTAAACTAATTCAAGTGTGACTGGAATTGTTGTGAGCTGTTCTGAATGACACATTAGGTTTGGAAGAATTTGTTTATGTTTAGATACAATTAACAACTATGAAGTGTACATGAAGTATAATTATGAACCTGCTGTCTCTACGCTTTAGTCAACAGGTTATGTGTTATATGCTTATTTTAGATTTTCGTTTAGTTCACATCAGTTCAAACGCACACTATGGCTCTCCAAAAATGGGCCACCTGAACTAAGAAAAAGATAATCCACTCATACACTCACTTATCCTGGATTAGATTGTACACAACAGCATAAATACTCTAGTAAAAAGCCTACATTTCAGAATAAACACTTCTGCAGGCATACTGCATAGCCTCGAGTACAAATCCTGTGGATAAAAGAAGCAATAGTGAGGTATTTGTGAGAAACTGTCAGAGCTCTACCACTCTATCCCTCTAAACTTGATTTTAGATAAGCCAGATAAGATGCTATAATGGAGGATCTTCATTCATGAGAAATGAAGCAAAGTCTCAGTAGACAACAGAAGGCAATTGCATTCCTCCATGCTGCTGGGCAGGATAATGTGAGCTGAACTGCCTTTACTTTGCTCTGTGTACTGAGCTGCAGAATAATACTGTGTCCAAGCGCAACCTGACAGGATTCCGGCGACAGCAAGTAATTTTTCTATTCTTGCTGAAAGTGAAGACAGTGCGTGACGCCACATGATCACAGCCAATCAGAACATATGTGAGGTTAAAGCATGATTTTGGACCAATGGGATTTCACTGTGGGTGGAACAGAAAAAAAAAAGTCTTGCTGGACAGTAGGGGACAAGATTTTACACAAAACAGATAGCATTTATTGCTTGCCGCTTTGTCGCATTGCATCTGGTTAGGACACAGAGTTTATTCACATCTGCACATCAAAGCATTGAGGATTA